ATGGCTGGTAAGGAGAACGTGACTCTCGTATAACATTACATTTGTATGCTAAAAAACGTATGAAACGATTTTGAACACTTAAAATAAATTGAAATGGTGTCCGTTAGTAAATAACATAATATAAGATTATCTTTGGACGAATAATTTATAAATATCGTCCATAATATAATTAGGTATACAAATATATAGTACCATTAGTACCTGTTATATACAGATGTACTATATAGGTACCTACATATTCTATTAATTACTAATTATTACTATACAGACATATACCTGAATATTACTTTTAGTCATTACTAATTCATATTCTAATACCATGGATGATTGTGCACTGTGCAGGAGGCAACAAGATTTTTTTCCTACTAAGTTTAGTATGATTTTGTTATGCGATTGATAACTCATTATTAAACTATTCGATGGTCATTACTATACGACTTGTTCGATATTAATATATTATAATTTATAATGACGGCTTTTATTCTTAGTTATTTATTGCTCACTTCAAGTACCTATACAATATTCACAAATATTTGGCATCATCAACGTTATAGCATCATATATAAATAAACGGACGACAGATTCACGATACCAGAAGAAACAAGCATTCAAGCCAGAGACACCCAAATTCAAATACATGCTCCAGTCATAACAACCCATTTTTATTTTAATAAAACTACAATTTAAAATAACCACAACCGAAACACATCGTAACATTCAAATAAATCAGACACCTGAGTTAATTGTTTTGGTTATCTCACTCATCGGGGTCAGATGTTAATCAGAAGTAAAAGTTAAAAAAAAAAAAAACCGAAAAAAACCATTATAATATTAAAGACCCAAATTTTATTGTTCGACTTTCAAACATTTGAAAAATTCTAAGACTGGAATAAAAAAATGTCGGCTTTTACTCATTGGACTAATAAGTTTAAAAAAAGTGTAAGCTCGGTCTATATTGTAAATTTTACAGATGTCTTTATTAAAGTAAGTCGATATAATTTGACAGGTATCTATATACGTGTCATTCCCAAAAAAAAGACGTCATACAATTTAAATGTTAAATATAATTATATAGGTTGATAATATTAAAATATTAAATCTATGTTACTTACCTGTAATTTATTTTGTTCTGAAGACCACGAGTTATTGTTGTACCTACTTGATCGATCACATATATTTATAGCGTAAGATTAAAAATTAGTATAATAATTAGATGCTAATATGTGATGCTCTGCGCAGAGCTAGGAGAAAATATTTACCTATTTAAGTGCCATAAAATAATTAATCCCCATTAATGATACATCGTGTCTGCGGTTCAATCTGTGATCGATTTAAGATATGAAAATATATACTTATTATATTATTCTATCTATGTATACGATATGACCGTATCTGGACCAGACGACCTATGAAGGCTGTAATCGCGTAGTTAAATAAGAGTCAGTTATAATCAGAGATTGAAATGTTCAGAATAAACCGTTATTTTTCAGATATATATGATCAAATTAAATATTATTAAATTACTATATTTATTAATGAAATATATATTTATATTATACATACCTATATGATATTGTGATTAAATACGCGTCCTAAGTAGTAATAGATTAATTGTACAATATAATTAGGGTATCTATTAATTAATATTATTTATGTTAAAGAGGTCAATGTCGATGCATTAGAATTAATGTATTGTTCATTAGAATATTGTAATAGTTATAACTAATAACACATTTTTTTATTAAATATAGATTTTTAACAAATATAAATTCTTAATAACGGCCAAGTGCCAAACGTAAAAGTGTCCCTGTCATTGTGTCAGTCATTCTTTTAGAAAACAAAAAAAAATTAGGAGAAATTAAACAATATTACCACACATTAAAGAATTCAAACTAAAATTTCCAGATTCTTAAACAGATAACACTATTTAAAATAATTACCTAGTGCAGGTTATAAATGTTCACATCTAAACAAAATATAAAACTAGAGTTAAATAGGTAACTAAAAAAAAAAAAATTGAAGGGGGGTGTTGGCGCCCGAAGGCAAGTGCGTTTTAGAAAACAAAAAAAAAAATAAACTAGAAATTAAACAATAGGACCACACATTAAAGACTTCAAACTAAAATGTCCAGAAAATTAACAGAAAAACTATTCAAAATGATAAGTTAAGGAAATGCTAATATAAACATTCAGTGAAATTTTCATGTACCTATCTACAGTAATTCGTTTTTGAATTACAACAAAATAAGGAAATCGCTACATGAGAAATCGAGTGAACATCCAAAATTTGAATTTCAAACGCTCATAAAAATTTAATTTGACTGTCCGGTAGAGATTTTTTTATTGATAAAGGTAGACAAACTTATGAGTAATCTTGTATTAAATTTTCAAATCTTAGATTTAAAAAGAAAAATTTTTACTAATTCTTAACTCAAAATAATTTGCTAATTTTCGTGATTTTTCCATATTTTGTCAATTTTTGAACTTTAAATGCTTATAAAAAAAAACTGTGACTAAGGATTTTTAATATTTTTTATCTGCCTTTTAAACAATATACTAGGAGCCTTTTTTTAAATTTTCAAGTTTTTTTAACCAACAAATAAAATTTTATTGATATTTCTAGAAAAAAAACTGAAAAATGAAAATGTCCCTAAACAGTTCAAAATAAATCAAAATATTTTGAAAATGTTATCGTGTATAGAAAATGCAAATATAAACAACCAGTGAAAATTTCATGTATCTACGGTCATTTGTCTTAAAGTTACACCAAACACCAAATTCAATTTTCTGAAAAATCGATTTTGCGTAAAAATTCCCGTTTTTCCTTAATTTTTCTTCTGTTTTTCTTGGCGCTTTTGAAAAGTACTGGGTATTTTAAATTTTGACCTCCCCAATGCACCAACGATATTCACTTTCCAATCGAACAAGATACTGAAGTTGAAAATCGAAGAATTATTTTGACTACTTATCGTGTACACAGACACAAAAAAAATAAAAAAACACACATCATTGTAAACTCAGAATCTAAAATATTAAAAATACATAGGCAAAATTTTTTTTATTAGCATTTAAAGATCGAATTTTGACAAAATTTATCAAATTTAAAATTGAATAATTATTTTGTAGTTAAAAATTTATAAAATGTTCAACTTTTATATCTAAGGATTGAAATTTTATAACAAGATTCCACGTAAATAGTTAATTCTGTTATCAAAAAATCTAAAAAATACACAAGCACAGGTTATTTGAATAGGCATTTTAAGTTCAAAATTGGACGAAATTACATAAAAAAAAACCTAAAGTAATCATTTTAGTTATTTTGTTGTGATTGTATAATATTATTCGTGGGTACTTGAAACTTCTAAAGTACACTATTATATATATCTATGATAGTATAACTTACAAGGGATTATTGTTGATGTATAACTCGTTATAAGTAAATAATGAATATTGTGATATGATTAATTTGGAATTTATTATAGATATCTATTAGAGGTAAATTTTTTTTAATACCATAGATAAGTATATAATAATATTATATACTTATCTACATATTATATCTTATACCTAGATTGACATGCCGTCTCCGCTCAGAATCGTTTTTCTTATACAATGATATTATATCATTGAATTATTATATTACCATCCATTATACAGTGACAAACTTGTAACCTATTGTACAACAGAGCACCTTTTTTCATTATAATTTTTTATTAATTTTAGTTTATTTATATTAGTATTGGTACACATTGATATGACTGATTATATGAGTATATGACTTATTGGGCTTGACTAGTCTTGATCTTCGTCGTATACGTATATAAGATCTATAAAAAAAATATGCTTAGAATATATTATGTTTGTACTTAAAATCATATATTTTACCTTTCAAGTGCTTACAATCAATAGTGGTACAATCAATGATTTCTTTAGATTTTCAAAATTGAAAGACATCCTGTTTGGTGCCAACCACGTTTTATAATTTATACAAAGAAAAAGAGCGTTCTACGTCCGACGAAGTTATTGGGGGCAAACTTGAAATACGTCATGTAGCTACAGGTTAAATCTTCTGGTATATCCAAACCTACGTTCTCTTTTCACCAGTTTATTTTTTGAAAAATTACACATAATTTTAAATTCTTTGTTTTTGTTGAGAACTGTTTAATTTCGACTTCAATAGCACAAGTTTAATAGACAATAATACCCGAGTAAAAATAGAATAGTTTAAATGAAACTATATAAGTCATAGTTATTACAAATACATTTAATATTTTAATGTCAATTTAGAACAGATTGACCGGAAAAATGTAAATATTACGAAAAAAAGCATTAAAAATGCATTTATGCAACCCGTGAAATATGCAAAAATATGCAAAATCAGATTTGGTATTTGACCTATATATAAGTCAAAACAAATTTTGGCCGAATCCATGTTATTATACATCCATTTTATTACCCTGCAGTATAGCAAAAAAAAACATGCAAATGCATTAAATTCACAGCCCTGCACATAATACAAATATATATATATATAATTTAACTATCCCTGTAACTAAATTTTTTTTCGGCATTATTGTTTTTCGATAAGACCAACCAATGACGATGACGTGTATGCGCATTCTTCACCTCTTCTCGCCCGCTGAACGATACGACGAATTAACCACGAACAGCGTCAGCGGGAAGTTAGCGCCTGGCGCCAATAACGCGTATTACAATATAGAATAATAGACTGTACGACAAACTCGATTAAGTATTATCAACGGTATAAAACCAACGGGACCATTGTCATTTTCATCAGTCTATCGAGTCCAATCGTCCAGAGGGTCTACGATACGGAGCAACATTTCGACTGTCGTAAAAGTGAGTTGTATACGATAAGAAGTTCGCACGGACGGTTATACCGGAGAGACATTCTGCTGCAGCGTTGGCGCGAAAGTATTGTACGGCTTTAACGCATAGGTTTTTTCTTTTCAGGAAAACTCCGACTAGAAAAACTAAACGATGAACACTGCGTCGCGGAAAATTGTCCTCCTGGCCGCCGCTCTGGTTCTGATCGCGATCGTCGGGTACGCGGCGGCGGACATGGTGGACGTGGGCATGTGCATCAGGAACTGTGCCCAGTGCAAGAAGATGTTGGGCGCCTACTTCGAAGGACCTCTGTGCGCGGACGCCTGTGTCAAGTTCAAGGGAAAGATGATACCGGACTGCGAGAACATCGATTCCGTGGCACCGTTCCTCAACAAACTCGAGTGATCATCTTCAACCTGCAGTGGACCGATTATATTATATTATTATATACTTAAATTATTATTTTATACGATGCATTCTGTATGCAGGCTGCAGTCATACTCACGGACTTATAGTAAACAGCGTTGATAAATAATTATAGCTTGATGATTTCACTCGATTAACGTAAACACATAGTCCATAGTGCGATCGTACGATATTGTAATCAAACGACAATGTATTAATAAACCGATGTTATTATTAAAAACTATAGGTATTGATTTATTGCTGGTATTGGCTAGGACTGGACATTTTTTGATTTACAACTAATAATTATTAATTAAAGTAATAAACTAATAACGAAGGAATACGTTAGAAAACGATGGTTAGTTTATATTAACATATTATTATACCTACAGATAGTTGGGTGCACTTAAATACAATAAAACTAAACCTCAACTATTAGTCTGTTTTGATCATATTACTTAGTAAAAGTAAAATTCCTTTTTTATTATGTGGTTGAGAAATTTTAAAAATATTAATATATTATAGATATTTTTTTTCTACGAGTCAACGAAAAGATCCAACTGTTTTTATTCAACCATAATTTTGTTGAACGAAATGTACCAAAAAGTATTAAAAATACGTTTTTTTAATTATAGAATAAAAATATATTTTGATAAAAAGAAATTAACCAAACATTCCACTATAAAGTATAAAGAAACAATTAATATTTAAGAGGATGTCACACCCGCATATCTTGTTCCGTCTTACAAAATATGTACAACATAGCAAAAACTGTTTACCGTGGGACAACTTTTCTCTCACCATATTTGATTTAGAACTACCAGATTTTCACAACAAGTAAAGAAGAGCACTAATCAATCATGTTTTATAAACAAATGAAAAAAAGCAAATGTTTAGAAGCAAATAACTTTTATTGTATTTATGTTATCTAAAATATAAGCAATCTGTTACATAGATAATTTTCTACCCTATATGTTCAGACATTTTAGAGCCACTACTACGAACACAGAAAGATAAAAGTTATCCCTTCGCAAAACAGTTTTTGCTATGTTGTACATTTTGTAAGACGGAGACAACACATGCGATTGTGACGTCCTCTTAAGATTATTATTACACCATTATGAAAAATGTAACAAACTTTAATATAATTGTAAAATATTTAATACCTTAAGGTATGAATACCGATAAAAAATAAGGTGTATAATATAAATACTGTTATTGTATTTATTGTGTTCTTCACATCAACATAAAATGTTTCCCGGCGCATTATTTATGCAAAATAAGTACATTGCTACATAATATTACGTTTTAGCTCTGTGCATCAGTCGTTATACGCAAAAGCGTTTTTTTCTATTTTGAAACAGAGTATAAGTAATCGATATTATGTAAAGAGTAAAATACGATAATGCCCAACAGTTAGGTTAGTTTAGTCTATGAAAAATATTTGAATCAACAGAAAATGTACTCAAAGTCATCACATTATTAATAGTTATAAGCAATATTGGAATTTTAGCAGATATTTGATATTTAATAAGTCAAACTAATTGTACCATTCCTGAAACAGAGAAAATTGATATATTATTAGAAGCTCTAACATTTATGAATAATGGCATATTAGACGTGTTGGAAACTCATTTAAAGAAAATAGAATATTCAAAATTGATGAATACTGATTTACAAAATATAAATTCTGTAAATATTGACACTTTAAAGAAAGAAAATAAAATTTAAAATTTTTTAATTAAATAGTCTCAACAATGGTTATCGACATTGACGACATTTTAACTAGAAAAATAAATTTAATAATAACATGCGTGTAAATAGTTTTATCATCATGTCGAGGGTGTTGAACCTTTGAATTCACTATACATGTTTCCAATTTATTTAATGCCAAAAGGCAAACCACAAAGTTTAAATGTTCAAAAAAAAGAATCACCAACATAATACAGAAACAAAGAGCACAACACCAGCGGCCCACACAACACCTGCACAACCGGTAAGGTAAGCCTACGAGCCGCAGAATACACCACCCAGCACCGGCCAAACAAGAACAACAAACACCTCGGTGAAACAGCTGCAACCAGCACCCACGGCGTCGGGGCTGAGTGGGCGGCAACAGAGGGACAAGGCGAGGCTGAGGGAGTACATGGCGACGAAAAGAGCAAAGACAACCCAACAACACCGGCTCAACAACAAATTGGACGATCATAGCACACCACCCGCTACTCCCCTACCACCAGCATCCCGTAGACGGACAGCCACCAGCCGGTTCTGCCACCGCAGGACAAGCAACCGACACGCCCACCCCAAACACTGCCGAAACCACTCGGGAAGAGATGGAGATCTCACTGGAGGAGGAGAACGGGTGCTAAGGGACAAAAACCAGGAATATCTGGGGAAAGACGACAACGATCACGACGCAACATGGTGGTCCACAACCTCGGCGGAGTCCTACCCGAAAAAGAAAGAGTGACCAGGCAGAACCAGGGCCACGCACCGCTGTCACAAGCCGGAAGCCGTGGTCAGGGCCCAGGGCCGGAAACCCCGAAGCACCGGTCGCATCACCACCATGACTGGCGGTTTGGAGGGGGAGTATGACGCGGACCCGGGAACCGGCGTTTGAATTCAAACGTCGCATTCCCGCCGCGCCAGCTTTTACCAACCACCAGGTCATGGTAGGACGACACCAGCGCATCGGCCGACAACGGCATTGGAACGCTGGAACGGTGCAACGGACAACTCTATCTTTCACCAGTCACGGCAACGCGAACACTACCCCGCTCGTAGACTGTACGCGACCCGTTAGACCACCGCATACTAGCGACATATTGTTCTTTTTTTTCGATTGTAATAATAATCGCTCATTGCCTGTTGAAAACAACTTAATATTAGTACGGTTAGGTCAGGTTAGGATTTTGTATAAATTGATTATATTAATCCACCATAGGTGGAATACGCCAAAATTGGTATAACTTTGATACTCTAGAGTTAAATCATACACTTACGTACAAACAGCAATTAGGGGTCCGCGATCTACCGAAGGTAGATTGCCTACCTGACAATATACTGCCGCAAATCAGAATTTTTATTCCGGGCAACGGAAAAGTTAAGATACATGTTGAACACCATACAACGAATATTAAATAACGAATTGAACGAAGCTTGAGTCATATAGAGTTTGTACATTTAACGAACAACGAAGTGCACGGGATCAGCTAGTATAATATAATAATATTAAACGCATTATACCCAATTATTACATTGCAGTTATTACGATTAAGCAGAAGTAATATTTTCAAATAACATTACAGTGCCTTTGTCGAACAGTCAGCATACAGCCACAAATAGGGTCTACGCCGGTCGCTGAACACGGGAAGTCTTGAAGTCAGTGTCTTCCCACGTTAAGCATTACTTTTCGCCACAAACACTGTCCTAAATGAAATCGATATGCTTGAATTTCTACATTTGAGAATACCTCTCTACATAGGTACTATTCATGAGCGCTTATCTCAAAGTCTAAACGTAACATGGGAATAACAAGTCTTCTGTAAATAAGTTTTTCACTTCATTCCTGAAGAAATAATACCACATGTCAATGTAGGTTTGTTTGGATTTTTCGGGAGAGAAAAAATAATCCACGGGTGTATAAAATCCATTTTGTAACCAATTAATTGTATAAAGCCGAATATAATATTTTGGAGCATAATATTAAAAGTACCATGGGAAAAAAAATCTGATGAATCAACTTCCGAGTACAACCAATTAGGTCTAATTACTTATTATTAAAATTTTTATATTATAGCAAGTATAATAGTTAATTTTACGTAACAAGTCCGCCAGTCGGTAATGTTTGTTACGTGGTGATATACTCGTAGAAAATTATTGTCGATTATAAGTACTTTAATATTTTCATATTATTTCTTTTGTTATAAATTCATATTTTTATCATTGACCAGCGACAGCGATCGTTCACAAGATTCTTACGTTTAACATTAGAAAATCATGGAGAGGTAATAATTAATTAGAATATATTTTTTTATAGACAGAGGATAAGTAAAATATTTTAATTATTATTTAAAATGTAATACCATAGTAATTATTATTATTATACACATTAGTTTATCCCCAAACAATTTATTTATTATTAACCCCCGTTAGTCGCATCGCTGTCTAAAAGACCGGGCATTTATAATTTTTCAAATTATCATTGTAAGTAATTTACATTATTTCGTGTACTTTAATACCTTCAATGTCCGAGTCAAGCTATCATTTAATGCTATTTAAAACAATTATCTGTTGATTGTTTAATTTATATTTATTTTTGAAGTCACATAAACCTGTCAAAAACACTGAATTAATTTTGTTCAGTATTATTTTCGTCAGTGATTTTTTTTTTATCGCTTATTATTATAAATGTATTAATTAGAGCTGTACATTTTCATGAAAATGTTCAAAAACTGAAAATTTTGAAAATTATTTTTTTGTTATGGAATTTGTAATTTCTTTTTTTAATTATAGGCCATTCGTTAATTATTCATTTAATCATTTATTCACAAAACACTTACCGACTTACTAATAAAATAAAAATGTTGATTGTGTAATATACTTTATTAATTTTAGAATTAACTGAATCTTTATTAGGTACATGAAAAGTATAATACATTATTTATATTATATTAAAATAAATTTTAGTATTTAGGTACTACCTATTATAATTTATAATATTTCATAGCCTGTTGAAAAATAACAAATACGAATATATTTAAAGAAACTGTTAAATATATATTAGACAGTGACCTCTAAGTAACAGATCACTTGCTAGTTTCTATCTACTATAGCCCACCCTAAAAAATATTTCTGTATACGCCACTGCTGTCTATAGTTGGTGTACTAAAAATACATTTTATTGATGATGTTTCTTCAATGAGTGGAAAAATGAAAGAATTAGTGGACTTTTTATCACTATCGTTATTATTACTAAACACGTACGATTACAAATTTTATTATTTTATTAAAAATTGAAAAATTGGAAAGAACTTGAAAAATGTCAGTCGTTGAAAATTTTCATTGTTGTTGAAAATTGCAATGAAAAAAAAAATTTAATTTGAAAATTTTCAATCTTACAGCTCTAGTATTAATTATTGTAATTTTTAATTTATTATTAAATAATTAAATTGTAAAGAAATATTCATTATATAATATATAATATATATACTATAGCTGATCCCGTGGCCCGTGCACTTCGTTTCCCTTTAAATGTGCCAACTCTATATGACTCAAACTTTGTTCAATTCGTTATTTAATATTCGGTGTATGACGTTCAAAATTTATCTTAACTTTTCCATTGCCTGGAATAAAAATTCTGATTCACAGCAGTATATTATCAGGTAGGCAATCTACCCGCGGTAGATCGCGGACCCCGTGCTGTTTGCACGTATAACTTTATAATTTAAATCTAAAGTATCAAAGTTATACCAAGTGTATCACTGAACTCTTCCTAAAAGGCTGGACTAATATTGTGAATTCCAAATTTGTTGACCAATATTTTCTCCTCGTCCGCGAAGACGTGGCATTATATTATACACGTAACATATAATTATTTTAGATTCTGAGCGGAGCGATGAATGTATTGGTTTTACAATGATGTGTGTTTTTTTTTATATTTTTATATTTTTATATTTTTATATTTTTATATTTTTTTTTGTGTCTGTCAACACGTTTTGGGACAGTAAAAGTGCTTCGATTTTCTTCAATAGTACCTTTTCTGATAGGAAAGTGAATCTAGTTGGTACTTTGGGGGGTCAAAAGTGAACATTTTTCAGTAGTTTTCACAAGCGCCGGGAAAAACAACATAAAAATTAAGGAAAAACGGGAATTTTTACGCAAAATTGATTTTTCGAAAAATCGAATTTGGTTTTTGGTGTAACTTTAAAACAAATGACCGTAGACCCTTGAAATTTTCACTGGTTGTTTATATTTGCATTTTCTATACACGATAACATTTTCAAAATATTTTGATTTATTTTGAACTGTTTAGGGACATTTTCATTTTCCATTTTTTTTAGTTTTTTTTCTAAAAATATCAATAAAATTTTATTTGTTGGTTGCGAAAGCTTGAAAATTTAATAGAAGGCTCCTAATATGTTGTTTCAAAGGCAGATGAAAAATATTAAAAATCCTTAGTCACAATTTTTTTTTATAAGCATTTAAAGTTCAAAAATTGACAAAATATGGAAAAATCACGAAAATTAGCAAATTATTTTGAGTTAAGAATTCGTCAAAATTTTCTTTTTAAATCTAAGATTTGAAAATGAAACACAAGATTCCTTATAAGATTATCTACCTTTATCAATAAAAAAATCTCTACCGGACAGTCAAGTTAAATTTTTATGAGCGATTGAAATTCAAATTTTTACAACATTGGATATTCACTCGATTACTCATGTAGCGATTTCTTTATTTTGTTGCAATTCAAAAACAAACAACTGTAGATACATGAAAATTTCACTGAATGTTTAAATTAGCATTTTCTATACACCATACAATTTTGAAAATATTTTGACTCTTTTTGAGCCGTTTATGGACATTTACAGCTTTCAATTTTTTTAGTTTTTTTTTCTATAAATATCAATAAAGTTTTATCTGTTGCGCCAAAAAGTGTAAAAATTTAATACAAGGCTCCTGATATATTGTTACAATATCAGTTGAAAAATATTAAAAATACATATGCACGATTTTTTTTTATAAGCATTTAAAGTTGGAATTTTGAAAAAATTTATCAAAATCTCGAAAATTATCAATCGTTGGACTTAAAAAATTATAAAATGTTCAGTTTTTATAACTAAGAGTTGAAAATTTAAAACAAAGATTCTCTTAAATAATTCATACTGTAACCAAAAATTCTAAAAAATATATAAACACACTTATTTTTTACAGACATTTTAATTTCAAATTTAGACAAAATTTCATATTTAAACCAAGAATTACGATTTTAGTTATTTTGTTGTGATTGAATAATATTATTCGTGGGTACTTGAAACTTCTAAAGTGTACTATTATATATCTATGATAGTATCACGGTTTTTGTTGATGTATAACGCGTTATAAGTATCTAATGGATATTGTGATATGATTAATTTGGAATTTATTATAGATACCTATTAGAGGTAAATTTTTTGTATAATACCATAGATATGTATATAATATGTCTTATACATAGACTGACATACCGTCACCGCTCAGAATCGTTTTTCTTATACAATGATATTATATCATTGAATTCAAATTTAATACCATCCATTATACAGTGACCCACTTGTAACCTACTGTACAGCAGAGCGACACCCACTTGCCCACCTTTTTTTTTTTTGTTTTCTAAAATGTATTTGCCTGCGGGCGCCAACACTCCCCTTCATATTTTTTTAGCAATTTGACTCTAGTTGAACTTCTAACCTGAATATTGATAACCTGCAG